ATTTCCCATACAAAATCACTTTGTCATCGTTTAGCAAACACGTGCATGCGTTGTAAGTGAGGGAAGGAGACAAAAAGTATGTATGTGTGCGTAAGTACTATTTTGGTTTTTGATAAACAGATGGCGCAATATTTATAACCTAATCGCGCGTATGTACATATGTAAATACATACATACGTACATATGTTGATTGCAGTTAATGCGGATCTGTTTCTATTTTTTAGTAATCTATGTATGTCTATACATACATACATATTATATATGTACATACGAAAACTTTTTGAAGTGAAACAACGTTTAGCAAAAGACCACTCCAAGAATAAAAGTAAAGGTGAGTACGTACATAAATAAAGAAAAGGATAAAGGAAAAGGTAAAAATAAAAACCAAAACAAAATTGCGTAAAGATAAAGGCAAAAATAAAGGCCAAGGTAAATTTAAACACTTTACTTATATAAGGGCAAACGTGAAGGGGAATATATATATGAAGAATATGATAAACTTAAAAATAAAAACAAAGATAAATATAAAGAAAATGATGAGGATGAGGATCCCTATAAAAGTACAGATGAAGATAGAGGAATAAAGATTAAAATAAAGGTAGTTTTAGAGAAAAATATATAGAGAGGCGCAGAGACTCAATCTGGGAACTATTTCGACATTTTAGAGATTTTCGGGATCCTCGGGACTTATCGATATAATAATCGATATTTTGTCGGTTTTGTGATTGATATTTTATCGATTTTGTTAACGAAATTTTTATCGATATTGTTATTGATTTTGCTATCGATATTTTCGAAACTTAAATGGTAGATATTTTTATTGATTTTGTTATCGATATTTTTTATCAATTTGGTTATCGATATTTTTATTGATTTTGTTATCGATTTTTTAATCGACTTTGTTATCGATTTCATTATCGCTTATTTATCGATTTTGTTAGCGCTTTTTGTCAGTTTTGTTATCGATACTGTTATCGATATTTTTATCGATTTTGTTATCGATTTTGTAATCGATATTTTTATAGATTTTGTTGTCGATATTTTAATCGATTTTTTCATCGATATTTTTATCGGTTTTGTTATCGATATTTTTAATGATTCTGTTACCGCGCAGCTATAGGTATTATTATAGCTTCTGTTATCGATATTTTCGGAATTTATCGATATAATTATCGATATTTTTATCGATATTTTTTATCGATTTTGTTATAGATATATTTATCGATTTTGTTGTCGATTTTGTCATCACTGTTTTTATCGGTTTTGTTACGGATATTTTTATCGATTTTGCTATCGATACTGTTATCGCTTTTGGTATCGATATTTTGATCGATTTTATTATCGATATTTTTATAGATTTCGCTATCGATATTGTCATCGCTTTTGTTATCGATATCTTTATCGATTTTGTTATCCATTTTGCTATCGATATTATTACCGATTTTGATATCGATATTTTTTCTTAGTGTGTGCTTTCGTTTTTGATTTGGATATGCTCTTAACCATACCACGTATTCTACGTTTAAATTTAGCGGCTGTATCTCCGATACAGCCTGCAGACCAAAACGAAGGCGCTGGACTGTTCCTTTTTTAAAACTGTTCCTGTTAAAAAAGTTTAACTAATTACATACATACTTGCTTCATCAGTATATCAACGAAGTACGCTTGCATACATATGTATATATATACTTACAAATATACATATGTTGCTGTTGCTGTTGTTTTGAACAGCCGGCAAAGCGACGTCGTAAAAAACATACGTACATATGTATGTGCGTATGGCTGCAAAAAACGAAGAAAACAAAAACAAAATAACTTCAATTTGTCTTCGATAGTTCGCTTGAATTCAATGAGCAGACATAACTACACACTTATAGGCAAATAACATATATCAGTATATCAACGAAGTACGCTTGCATATATATGTATATACAAACATAGATATGTTGCTGTTGCTGTTGTTGTGAACGGCCGCAAAGCGACCAGAACAGCGAAGAAAACAAAAACAAAATCACTTCGATTTGACTTCAACCCTTCGCTTGAATTCTATGCGCTGACATATTTACGCACGTAGGCTCTAAGTCGCCACATAAACACACAAACACACATACGTAAAAACATACGTACATATGTACGTATGGCTGCATAGTGGAGCCACCGGCAAAGCGACAACAAAAACAAGATCTCTTCAATTTGACTTCGATAGTTCGCTTGAATTCAATGAGCAGCCATACATACATAACTACACACTTATAGGCAAATAACATACAAATGCGTATTGTTTTTGCTGTAGTCACTCGCGCCGCTAAAGAAGTTTTCACTGCAAAAATTAAAGCACTTTCAAACGCCGGTTTCAGTTTTCGTTATCACATCGTTTGTGCTTTATTACGCGAGTCCGTCTTTTTGTATTATTAAATTTTAAATATGCCGGCAAAACGAAAATCGAATTTGACGAACACATCTAAAAAAGCGAGAACTATGAAAATAGTTAGAAGTGAAGAGACTTCCACTCAAACGGAGCTGAGAAGGAATGAGCAAGCCAGACGTCAAGCGGTTGTTAGATTCTCCGAAACGCTGGAGCAGGCGGAAGGCCGACGTCACCAACATGCCCATTATATGGCGTCCCAACGAGCTGCTGAGACGCCGGATCAACAACAGGTAAGGTGCGAAGAACAAGTTCAGCGGCAAGCTAGCTTGAGGGCTACCGAAACACTGGAGCAGGCGAACCAACGACGGCAGCGATTTTCGGAATATATGGCATCTCAGAGAGCTCTTGAGACGGTCGATGAAGCAGATGATCGGAGACGGGCTGTTGCTGAAAGGGCAGCGCAGCGGCGGGAAGCTTTCACTCGAAACACTTGGAGTGTTTTTGAACGTGCTGCATTGCAATACGATGTGAACATACACTATGGCAATCACAGGCTGCTAAAAATGGAGAGAATGGATAAAGTATGTATATTTTGTGATGCACAGAAATAGAAAGAGGAAACGGACGGGATATGTTGTTCTGGAGGTAAAGTATGTATACCGCGGTTCGAGGAGCCAGTAGAGCCTCTGAAAGAATTGTTTACATATAGAACGGATGAATCGCGGCATTTTCTTAATAATATAAGAAAGTACAATGCGTGCTTTCACATGACATTGTTTGGGGCGGATAGGATTATTTCTATTCCAGGCTTTTCTCCAACATTCACCATACAAGGGCAAGTCTATCACAGAATTGGATCCCTGCTTCCCGTGCCAGATGGACAGCCACAATTTTTACAAATTTATTTTTTGGGCGATGAGAATGCGCAGGTCGAGCAACGTTTTCACATAGTACAAGGAGTTGAAAGACAGTTAATTCTAATAATAATGCTTTGGTTCACGAATTCAAAACGGCTCTGGAGAACAGGCCCAATGAAAGCTTCAAAGTGGTAATCCACGCTGATCGCGTGCCACGCGGAGAACATGAGCGGCGCTACAACGCGCCTACCACCAGCGAGGTGGCGGCCGTGGTGGCTGGCGCGGAACACACCAGCGGCAGGGACATTGTACTGCACGCGCGCAGTGGGCAGCTCTGTCCCATTACTGATACGCATAGATTTTATGACGCTCTCCAGTATCCGCTTATTTTTTGGAACGGCCAGGAGGGTTATGATCTTTTAATCCCACAGACTAATCCGCAAAATAGGCGCCCGGTGCCTAACAAAAAGGTGCCCTGCATGGGCTTCTATGCTTACCATCTCATGGTTCGTAACAATAATTTTAATCTACTGCTAACATGCAAGCAACTTCTGAACCAATTTTTAGTTGATATGTATGTAAAAGTAGAAAGTGAGCGATTGAGATACATCGCTTTAAATCAAATAAAGTTACGAGCGGAAAACTATATACATTTGCAAGACGCTGTAAGACAAGACGCGCAAGTTAATGCGAGTGACGTAGGGCAAATCGTTATACTTCCTTCTACTGTAGTGAAGTGCATTCGCATACGTTCGGAACTATGGGCGTCCCGATCTGTTCATCACGTTTACGTGTAATCCGGCATGGGAAGACGTCACTATCGAACTTATGCCTGGTCAAAAAGCCACTGACAGGCACGACCTTATTGCTAGAGTTTTTAAGATCAAAGTCCAAAAGTTAGTCGCCCTGCACACGAAAGGTAAACTATTTGGAGACGCTCAGTGCTTTATGTATTCAATAGAGTGGCAGAAACGAGGTTTGCCTCATGCTCATCTTTTGTTATGGCTAAAAGAAAAATTGTGACCAAGTCAAATCGACGACATAATTAGTGCGGAAATCCCTGATGCTAACATTGACCAAAAACTATACGATACTATTGTCAAAAATATGATCCATGGTCCATGCGGGGCACTTAATATGTCAACTCCATGCATGAAGAATGGAAAATGTAGTAAACAGTATCCCCGGGCAACACTTAAGGACACACCGACAAATGAAAATGGTTACCCCTTGTACCGTCGAAGAGCACCTCACGATAGAGGACGCATGGCTAATATTAGAATGCGCGGCTACCAAGAAGGCGTCGTAGTAGATAACAGGTGGGTTGTGCCTCTTCTTTCAAAAATATTCGATGCCCATATTAACGTAGAGTACTGTAGCTCAGTTCAGGCCATAAAGTATATATGTAAGTACATAAAGAAAGTTAGCGATCAAGCCATTTTCAATGTGAGGCAAGCTGGCGATATTAATATTAACCCCAGAGATGAAGTCCAAACCTTCAGGGCTGGCCGGTACGTGAGCAGCAATGTTGCGGCCTGGAGAATCTTTGGCTTGCCACTTCATGAAAGACACCCTACTGTCATTCACTTAGCAGTACACCTGCCCAATGGCGAGCGTATTTACTTCACGGAACACAATTTCCGCCATAGAGTTGCAGCGCCTCCAAAAACAACACTAACGGCATTTTTTCAACTTTGTGAAACTGACAACTTCGCAAAAACCCTGTTATACGCTGAAATACCGAGGTACTATATTTGGAACGCAATGAGGAAAGAATGGAAGCGCCGTTTACAAGGGACACATGTGGAGGGTTGGCCAGGCGTGAAAGCTGGAGACGCACTGGGTCGCATGTATACCGTGGTCCAACGAACTTCCAAGCACTGAAGAAATTTGATGGACTAGAGCGAGCGACATTCAGGGAAGCATGTGAAGCACGTGGACTATTGCATGATGACAACCACTGGGACTTAACCATGGAGGAGGCCGTGCTGTGTCGCTCAGCCGCCAAACTCAGAGAGCTGTTTGCAATTTTAGTGAGTACTTGCGGAGTCTCCAACCCTCTCCAGCTGTGGGAAAAATACAAGGACGCACTGCCAGAGTATATCGCGCATACGCTACAAGGGACGCACGCAGATTTGATAACTAATGAGGCGCTGAAATTAATAGAGGATAAAATAAATAACTTATGCGGAAAAAATATGGTGGATTTTGGTTTGCTTACACCACAACGAAGGGGAGAATTGTCAAGCGATGTTATAAGAGAATTCAATTATGATACCGTCGCCTTAGACACTTTTGTTAATGAAATGACACCACATTTGCTTCCCGAGCAAGAGCATGTTTACAATTTAATTATACAGCGTGTTAATAGTGGTGAACCGGGAATCTTTTTTCTGGATGCACCAGGAGGTACTGGCAAGACATTTGTTCTAAACCTGTTGCTGGCTCGACTTCGCAAGTACCGTAATATAGCCCTGGCTGTGGCTTCCTCAGGAATCGCAGCAACGTTGCTTACTGGTGGACAGACTGCGCATTCAACTTTTAAATTGCCACTAAATCTTGTGAGCGAAGAAACCCCTACTTGCAACATTAGCAAAACTAGCAACCGCGGTGCTCTCTTGCAACAGTGCAAGTTAATTGTGTGGGACGAGTGCACTATGTCGCATAAGCATGCTGTAGAGGCATTAAACCGGAGCCTGCAAGATATCCGTATCAATCAGGCTTTGATGGGAGGAGTTGTGGTCTTGATCGCTGGTGATTTTAGGCAGACATTGCCTGTTATTGAGAGGGGTACACCGGCAGATGAGATGAATGCATGTTTGAAGGCGTCGGCACTGTGGTCCAAGGTGGAAAAGCTTTACCTTACGTGCAATATGCGAGTTCAACTTTTCAATGATTTGGAAAGTGGTGAATATGCATCTAAGCTGCTTCAAATCGGTGTGGGTGTACTACAAACGAACATATATGGTAAAATTGAATTTAAGAGCGATTTTTGCAATCCAGTGATGACAGAGGATGAACTAATTTTGTGCGTTTATCCGAATTTGCAAATTAATATAAGAAACCCCGATTGGTTATGCGAGAGGGCAGTGCTTTCGCCAAAAAATGAGTCTGTCCATAATATTAACAAAAAAATAATGGAAGGGTTAGTTGGAGAATCGAAAATCTACACATCAATAGATACGGTGATGAGCAGTGATGACAGTACATCTTACCTTGTAGAATTTCTTAATACATTGGAATTAACAGACGTGCCTTCCCTTAAACTCGAGCTAAAGATTGGAGTCCCAGTTTTGCTGATGCGTAACCTATATGCACCGAGATTGTGCAATGGCACCCGGCTATGTGTTACAGAGATGGGGAGAAATATCATCAAGGCAACTATTCTCACCGGATCAGCTAATTCCAATTATCCCAAATAATTTGCCATTTGAATTTAAGAGGCTGCAATTTCCCCTAAAGTTAGCATTCACAATGACTATTAATAAATCCCGGGGTCAAACATTGAAAGTGGCAGGACTTCATATGGGCACTTCTTGCTTTTCAAATTGTCAACTTTATGTTGGTTGCTCAAGAGTCTCGAGCGCTCAAAATTTATACGTATTGGCGGAGAATAACAAGTCCTACAATGTAGTATATAGGGATATATTAAAATAAAATATGTTCATAAAAAAGATATCACCTAAATATTACTACCAACATACTAATTGTGGTCAAAATTGACATAGGATCACTATTCAAATAAATTATCAAATACCCAACGTGCTTCGTAACATGGGATTAGAAACACAAAAATACTTTTAAGGCGCAGCGAAGCTCGATGGGTATTTGCTAGTACTTTCATAAAAAAATAATAAAATTAATTTGAAGAAATTTAATATATAGCTAAAACTGGGTGACCGTAGAATTTTATCGCGTGGTGTATTTTTTAAAATGTGGAATACAATTTAAGAATTTATTTATGTATACTTAAGTTAAACTGTAAACTTAATGAAACTTGGTTTAACTTAGAGGGACCTTCTGACAAAACTGGCTATGATTTTATGGGCTAGTGGACAGATCTCAATGATAAGTTACATTAAATTAAGCTTACACCAACTGAAGCTGTACAATGAACTGAAAGATAAACCCACTGTAGTAGACAAAAAATAGTGTATGTTAGGTTGAAGGAAAACGGGAGGTAATGTATTGACGGAAATGGTGAAAAGTACAATTAAGCTCTAAAATGTACAGTTTTTCTCGATAAGTTTTACAATTTAAAAATCTCAAATATCAACACTGGTGCATACATGAAAACGAACTTATTTCTGCGTAGGCAGCCTTCGGCCGCGATTAGGGATTATAATCCTTACTACGTAGAATTATCCTTTCTGTGTTGCCGGAAAAGGGGGCGGAAGTATTTTCGCGCAGCCTTCCCTGCGCTTGGGGGTTATAACCCTTACTAAGTAGAATTCTGCTTTCTGTTTTGCCGGAAAAGAGGGGCGGAAGTATATTTGCTTAGAACTTCTTCCTGCGTAGGCGGCCTTATCCGCGCTTAGGGGTTATAACCCATTCAAAGTGGAATTCTCCTTTCTGTGTTGCCAGAAAAGGGGGTGGAAGTACTTTTTCCCAGAACTTCTTCCTGCGTAGGCGGCCTTATCCGCGCTTAGGGGTTATAACCCATTCAAAGTGGAATTCTCCTTTCTGTGTTGCCAGAAAAAGGGGTGGAAGTACTTTTTCCCAGAACTTCTTTTTGCGCAGGCGGCCTTCGGCCGCGCTTAGGGGTTATAACCCTTACTAAGTAGAATTCTCCTTTCTGTGTTGCCGGAAAAGGGAGCGGAAGTAAGAATAAACCGAAATAATGCATATGAGGAAATACCGAAATTATGCATAAGCATACCTTCGTTTTAAAAGCGTGTTATGGTACGCATACGATGAGAGTAGTAGTGAGTGCAGGCGACATGATACAATGGGGTGCACTGTGGCTAGTCATGTCGGCTTGGCGAGGTTCTTGACTCACTACTGTTCCCTGTGCCGTAGCAGAGAAACAGTCATGCCTTTTCAATCATCCCAACGGACGGACACACAACAATTATAATTCCACAAATTCAAAAAAATCCGTTACAAAACAAACAAAAAAGCTGGAAAAAAGAACGTTTAATACATTTAAATTAAACTAAAAATCAAGAATCCAAAAACCTAACCAACTACGAAGAATCAAAAAAAAAAAACTACGACCGAATATGAGGCACCACCGCTGGTATTGTGGTGCCTGGTGCTGGCCCACCCTCACCGTGACTACTGGCGCACCCTAATATCAGTAGCCCCATTATAAAAGTCTTTAGCATGCCTTCCTATATAACTAAAAGGGTCAGCATTCCCGTTATATCAGTACAATTTATGCAAACTTCATTTTCTTATCCTAAATTAATCCTAATCCTTACAGGTAAAAATTCGTAACCCTATCATCTAAACTTAGTAAATGTGTGCGTGATCTATGCACGTTAATGGTAAGTATAAAGGAATGGTAGGTAAGTACTGAAAATCATTTAAATCAAGTTTAAGTATGTATGAAGTGTATTCGGGTATTTCAAAAAAAAAAAAACAAGTGTCAAAACGCATGTGCCTCCAGAGTGCTTGAACGCACAGGGGTTTTTTATTCAATGGAAATAAGAGAAAAATAGAAGACCGTGGTTTAATAATAGTTTAATTAAAGTCATATATTTTGTCAAATCTTCTTTTTATACAATTTTGTATATTACCTGAAATAAGTTAATATCGCTGACGCTGGTAGCTCCGTGTTATCTTCCGTGTAGACTCAAACGAGAAGTGGCAGATTAAATTAAATCGCGTTAGTTGCGGACCGCCGGACAAACACCGATATAGAAGGGGAAAGTTAACGAAAGTTCGTTGTCCGGCGGGAATAGGGTGGCCAGATGCGCTGATTTAATCAGTACATTTGCTGATTTTTTTTTTATTGTACTGATTTTTAAGAACCCGAAATCTGATTTTATGAGTTTGTACTGATTTTTACATTTAATAAATGTTTTTGTGAATTGGTATAATTGTCATTTACATGAGGTTAACATGTTCAAAAGAATGGTTTTTGATAACTCATACATGTGAGCAGATACGAAGCAATTTATTGAACGTGTAAATTCAGTGCTAATTAAATTTAAACCATTTTTCAAAAGCTGTCACCTTGAAATTGTTTGGTTTCCTAACATTTCGCAAAAAACTGCCCGAATTCAATACAACATAATAGCCCTTTTCCAAATACTTCAGGACATGGAACAGCCATAGTATTTCAAACTGAAATAGCTACTGCTTTTGTGCTTGTTGTGCAATGTAAGTTCTAAAAACAGATGAGTGAAAATTACTAGTATTACTTACCAGTTCATACCTGCCAACCCGATAAGTAGGCCAGAAAAAAATAGACAATCCAACGTTTTCACATTTTATAGGCTTAATACTTCCGATTGGTTTATAATTTGTTCATTAAACAAAATTTAAAAAAAAAATAATAATTTTTGAGTATTTAATTAAAAATATCCTGGCCAGGATTTTTTTTCAACCAACCCACTCGCGAAATATTTATTAAGACATAAGTTTCATACAAAATAGCTTTAATCCATGAAACAGGTGGGTGAAGGTCGTACCCTTGTCGGATCTTAGACTGTTATAAGCAGGGAACGGATTTTATGGAAATTGCCTTTTTTTCTGCTAAAGAGATAGAGAATATTCGATTAAGAATGTCCACGATTTAGCTTTCCCTGATTCCATATATACACATTTGATGTTGCCTTTTTTGCCTTTTTTAAGATATTTGCCTTTTTTTGCTTTTTTAAGATATTTGCCTTTTTTGCCTTTTCTTCCTTTAAAAAAGTGATTATAGCATTTAAATTTTTTTTTTAGGTTAAAAATATAGACATGCCCATGCGGCCTATAGAAGCACAGGGGCCTCTTGCCAAATTGGTGTTGGAAAAATTCAAAGCCGTTTTCTCAGCTAACGTAGGCTTAGAGACAATAAGGGGTGTGGATAAAATTGTAAAGGGCGAGGAAAACGCCCTTATTCCTGATAATATGAACGTTTCAAACGTTCCATATTTAAATTGGGCTCCACTTGTATCAACTTACGTCGAGCGCACATTTAGTACATTCAAGGCTTTTCTTCGCGAAAATCGAATGAAAATGCTGCCAGAAAACTTCAAAATGCATCTTGTGGTTCAATGTTACTACAACTATAGAGATTAAAGTTTTATGAGTTAGAAACTCGAAAGGATAAAATAGTCAAAGATTCAAAGTACACATTTTTCATATAATGAAACTAGTTCATAGATTTTCTCTTTTTATTTGTAATATAAACATTTCTAAAATAAATGTTCTTCGTATTTTCTGTCTTTTTTTTGTGCCTTATTTTGCTTTGCAATACCTAGTGCCTTTTCCTGCCTTTTTCGCTATTTTGTTTTGCCTTTTTTGCAATACCTAGTGCCTTTTCCTGCCTTTTTCGCTATTTTATTTTGCCTTTTCCAGCCTATTTCGTTATTTTATTTTGCCTTTTTTATAGGTTTTTAGGTCCTAAAAATCCGTTCCCTGGTTATAAGACTGCCATAACTTTTATATTCAAAGTCATATTAAAATGGCGGTAAGACAGAAATATGCGCATTGAAAATTCATGTATATGATAGAAATCTTGGAAAATTGTCATATCTCGAGCGAAGTTGTTTTGTCAAATGTCCACAGATTTTATTAAGGCAGTTCACTCTTTGAACGAAAATGCGAAAGGCAAAAATTAGCGTTTGTTTTGTTGCTTTGCTGTGCGTTTGTGCGTTTGTGCGAAACGACGCCATAACGGTGCCATATGTTTGTTGTAAAAAACTGCCGATTTTCGCACTTTCGCTCAAACGCATCAAAAAGTGAGCTCTAGTATTGTGAATGTGTTTTAAATTTGTAGCTTAAAATATGCAAACAAATTCTGACTCGAGCTCATCTTCTACTGAAACTGTATGCGCTACAAAACTGCGTACTAAAAATTAAAAAAAAATTCGGATAATTAGATATTTTGATGAAATTTTTTTTTAAATTTTTATCATTTCTATAAATTTTCTAGAAAGTTTGAGACTTCATCTTGCATGGTTTTTCTTATAGAATTAACTTTATTTTTATATAAAATTTAAACTAAGTAAGGAAAGAAAAAATTGTCAATACATTTTACTACCATTTATGTGAACACAACTGTACATACATATGTAATACGTTTGCTTTGTTTTAAACTAATGAACTGTTATATATGTTATTTTTTTTTAAATTAATGCGCTGTTATTTGGTGTTATATTGTTAATAAACGAAAAAGGCGCTTAAAAATGAGCTGATTTTTATGGCTTTGTACTGATTTTTGATCCCAACTGTACTGATTATGTCACTAAAATATCTGGCCACGCTA